GACTCTCTCTCTCTCTCTCTCTCTCTCTCTCTCTCTCTCTCTCTCTCTCTCTCTCTCTCTCTCTCTCTCTCTCTCTCTCTCTCTTTGTTTGCAAGGTGGCCCCCCTACCCCCTCCTGAGTCCTCTGGCCCCTCCAGCTTTCGGGGGAACACTCGAAAACTACCGTCTTGACCCAAATAGAACACCCGGTCATTAGTCTAAATCCCGCATCGACCTCATTTTAATATTCGAAGACATAAAAAGAGCTCTACAAACTGCTATAATCCTTCCAAAGAGCCCGCACCCGGGGTTCGACCACAAAACATGCGGGGCCCTACTATCCTTTAGGAATAGGCGGGACCAAGGGCCAGGGTTCTATAAACTAAATACCTCTCTTCTAAAATTACCGGAGTTCCAGAGGATGATAAACGAAGCATGGGATCAATGGCGAACCCTCCGACACCGTTTTGACTTAGAAATCATGTGGTTCAATAATGACCTATTCTTCCTAGGGCGAAAATGCAACGAATTTTCTAAAATGAACGCGAAACGACATAACCTTCAGGAAATGGAACTTCACAGACAACTTCACACCTTGGAAAGCCAAGGGACTTCGGATGAACCTAGTAATTCCTGTCAAGAGTTGCGCGAACGAGTGCTGCACCATGCTCAATATAGGTGGCAAGGAGCCAAAATTCGAGGGAAGCTCACCAAATGGACATCTGAAGGAACCATGGACACGCGATTCTTTGGCGTAGCAAAAGCAAGAGCCTGCTGCAACACTATTGAGGTCTTTCTTAACCCAGAAAACGACCATGAGGTGGCCACCACCACGGCACACTGCACAGCTATCGCACGATCCTTCTTCAAGCAACTTTTCTCCTCACAAGTGACAAACCCTCGGGAGGAGGGGCACCGAAGAGAGTTGGATGATTTTCTCAGCCCATTGGACAGGAAAATCCCCAGCAGAGAGAAAAAATCGAACAACTTGTTAAGGAAGAAGAGATATAGACGGCCCTCCTTCAGATGGAGGAGGACAAGACTCCAGGGATGGACGGCTTCCCCAAAGAATTTTGGGAAACCATGTGGCCGACACTACATCAGGACTTGATGAATTATTATGGGGCGGTGTGGGAAACGGGACAGATGGGTGAATGCGTGGGTCAGGGGGTGTTGTCTCTGCTATATAAAAAAGGGGATAAAATGAATATCAGGAATTACCGACCGATCACCCTATTAACAGTTGTTTACAAGATGCTGGCCAAAGCCCTCGCCAATCGATTGCTTGAGGTGATGGAAGATATTATCCACCCGTCTCAGTCAGGATTTATAAGGTCGAGGAACATCCAGGAAAACATACTCCTGGTCAATGAGATGATCCATCTGGCGCAACAATCCAAACAGAACGCGGCCTTCATTTTTATTGATTTTGAAAAGGCCTATGATCATGTGGATTGGAGCTTTATGGATGCATGCCTCCAGAAAATAAATTTTGGGCCCAACCTGAGAAGATGGGTGCATATCCTCCACCACAACGCAACGACATGAGTGCAAATAAATGGGAACTTGGCACCGGCGATTGCTTTGCAGCGCTCGGTCAGACAAGGGGACCCCATTGCCCCCTTTCTGTTTGTTATAATTATGGAAGCGTTGTCGACCAATCTGCGGCAAAATAAGGACATCAGGAAAATCAAGATTACCAACATCCCAGAGGAAGCCATTCCCGTGATTTCCCTCTTTGCTGACGATCTGACACTAATGGTTGAGGCCTAGAAAGGCAACATGGAGGAGATACAGAGACTGATGGACCGCTTTTGTAAACTGTCAGACATGACAGTCAACTGGGAGTCCAAAACAGTGGGGTGGTGGATGCATCATCAGGGGGGACGACCGCCTGAAGCCCCCCGCATTAGATGGCTCCCCCTGGAAGCCACGGTGGGAGTGTTGGGCGTCCAAATGACAGCAAATGGAAAACCAACCACGAATGATGAATGGATTCAGTCGCCCGCTCAAGAGAAGATGACCCAATGGAATCAAAAACCAACCTCGCTTTTTGGGAAGGCACTGGTAATCAATAATGTGGTCCTGGCGTCGCTATGGTACAAATCTCTGATATGGCCACTAAGTACAACAACCCTGAAGGCCCTCAAGAAGCAGGCGGCCGCCTTTCTATGGAGAGGTGATAGCGGATGCGAGCACGTCATCAGCCGGGTGGCGTGGGACGCAGTGACCCAACCCAAGGCTAAGGGCGGCCTGGGGATTATTGACCCGACCCTCCAAACCCAGGCCCTTAGCATGCAATGGTTCAAAAATCTCATTTTGAAAACAGCCCGACCCTGGCTCCCACTAGCCATAGAACAAATCGCTAGGCTGGCACCAGAAGCTCCGACCGGGGTGGACCCACTTCTATGGTTAGACGACAGGTATTGGAAGCTTCCCCGTAGAGGGAGAGGGGATCAAAGGGAAGGCCCTTTAAGAGACGAATACTGACCTCGATTGATTAAAATATGGCGAAGACTCCCCACCCTAGATCGCCCAGAACCAGAGAGGTGGGAGGAAGTGTATCGTCAGCCCCTCTTTGGCAATCGCCATATCACGGACTCTCAAGGGCAGGTGAAGTGTAGCTCCGCCGCTCCATGGAAAGGGTGGATCAAACATGGGATATGGAGGGTGGGGGACTTATGGGACGTCAGTTCCAGAACATGGAGGAATCTGGAAGAAATGAAGGTAAGACTACGCTACTGCCATCAGGTCCAGGATGCTATAGAAGATATAATAGAAGCTCTCCCTCTCCACTGGTATAATATTCTAAGAGCAGGCCAGGTGCACAAGGAAGGGGACTGGGTAATGCAGAAAGGAAACACTGGAAGGGTTGGTCTGCTCCACCTGATCGGTCCCAACAAGGTTCTAGTCGAGTTTTACTCTATAATAAAGGAAAACAGATTAATGGGTARCACARCCYCCTTTGCCTGGATAGACAAGGAACAAGTGGACAGGGTGAGAGTGATGGGGGAAGGGGAGAACCTTTGGGTTTACAAACCCGGAACCCCAATCACGGAATTGGGGCTGGACCCAATCAAGTGGAGATGGAAACCTACTGGCCCGTCACGAGGGCGAGCCCACAAGGACACAACATTGGTAAACCTCTCCGTTAAAACCACATACAGACTGATCAGGCCAAGATGGAACCTAAAAGACACAGTGGATGATCGTTGGTATAGACACCTAAACATTGATAGGCATTTGCTAACCCCGATTAGGTGGTTCCAGGAAACCAAGAGGAAGCCGGCCAAAATTTCTTCATTGCAATGGCAGATAGCCCATAGGTGTCTACCTACTAACAACTGGCTAATTGATCGTACCAGGCTGGAACAACAAGGACGGGCCCTCCACTGGTGCTGTCGATGCCTCCGGGCATATCCGGCCAAAAAAGCGGGCGAAACCATTGAGCACATTTTTCTACAGTGCCCAAATGCTGTTCTCACCTGGCGCTGGTGGGACCGGATCTGGCAGCACTAAGTTCCGGGTTCCCTCTGGCCATGGGACTGGCGGGCAATTCTAACGGGCTTCTGGCTAGGGCGACCCGAAGATGATTTCGCATCTAATATGTTCGATCTGGGGAGACGAACAATTTTATGGTCGCTGTGGTGGCAAAGATGTGTGCTGGCAATGGAAGATGTACGAGTGGAAGGGGAGGAAGTGCGCGAATACATAAAAAATCAATTCCAACTGGACATCACAGAGAAATGGCAGACAGTTAGACGCAAGCTAGATCTTTTTCAACAACCAAAGGACATAAGAGAAAATATCACTAAGTTCTGCCAAGAATGGTTGGGAGGGGAGAGAGGGGGCTGGATTGCACAGGTGAGATGGTCGGGGGACTGGGAAGCGGGCATCCAGGGGGGGGGGTGAGACGATAAGAAGAGATTATTGCTTGGACTTCAAAGAATGGACTGATATTGACCCAAGTTTCCCGATGAGGCCTTCTTCAGATTTCCCGGACCCTTTCCCCCCACACCCTCTATCCCTGATAGAAACAACTAGACCGTGAGTCTCCGGAGAGAAGGGTTTCAGGATTGAAGCAGGGAGGCTCAGCTTCTGAGGACAAAACTCCTGTAAATAGACACCGCGACTTCCAGCAATAAGAGAAGGGGGTCAGGATGGAAGCATGGAGGTTCACCTGCAACAATGTTGTTCTGAACAGATGTATCTGAGGGATGCTGGACCCGGTTCCCAGCAGGAGTGGCTGTTGGGTTCAGGAAGGATGAGTAGGTTGGCTCCGGGACGCTGGACCCGGCTGCCAGCAAATTGGTGTCACCATTGATGTATTGGTTTGCACAGAAGGATTTACGTTGTTCTGCACAGAAGGATTTAAGGGACGCTGGACCCGGTTTCCGACAAATCCATGTAACAGACACAATAGGCGCCATGAGGACGGTGGAGGGATGGCAGGGGCAAGGGGATGGAGGGAGTTTCCACTGGTGCCCCCCGGTGTCTCTCCCCCCAATACCCGACCCTCCTACAGAATAGGCATAGGCGAGTTGATTGGACAAGGGACACTGGACCGGGTTTCCAGCAAAAAAAGAGAATGGCAGGTGGATGGCAGAGGCTAGGGGATGGAGGGGGAATCCACTGGTGCCCCCCGGTGGCCCCCTCCTATGCCCGACCCCAATGCGGGGCAGGGACGGAAGAGTAGTTTGGAGATGGGACGCTGGACCCGGTTTCCAGCACTTTGGCGTCACCCTTATTGATGTATTGTATTGAAAAGATGTTTCTATGGGACGCTGGACCCGGTTTCCAGCAGGTGTTGGTCCCCACCAATAGATGGAGCGGCCCGCCAGGCAAAGCCTCAATCCCGGTGGTTCTCTTACCACCACCAGGATAGAGGTCTTGCACAAGGGCCTTCAAAAAAAAAAAAAAAAAAAAAAAAAAAGAACACCCGGTCATTATAGTTGTATTTGGGACACCTTTCTGTCTACTACAGGGATAGTGACATGCGTTCTTTTCGGGGGAAGAGACAGGAATCTTTGACACAACTATGGAATTTGCCATCCCCAGTTTGCCGTCTCATCTGAAGGGTATGATAAAAATGTAAGCATCGAGGAATACCTTGAGGGGCCGCGAGGTATTGCCCCCATCTGTTTGAGGTGGTTCGCTTCTGGGACACTGGGACCATGGTCAAGATAGCTGGCCCGCGAAGAAAAACAGCAGCATCACACCCAACTACGTACGTTTCTGTCAAACATCGTTCGATGCGTCCGTCCGCCCGCCCCCGCGCCACCACTCTGCCCCTCCCCACCCGCCCTGCCCGCCTTGCACCACCTCGCCCCGTCGCGAGGTTCCTGTTCGGTTTCACTTGGTTGCTGTCGTTTTGTTGTTGGCGCAGGTTTTTTACCGATCTGAGGTGTGTCGCGACCTCGACTCGCCGATCAAGGTATGTACGACGTCTCCACTCCACGGAGAAATAGTGCCGCCATAGCCCACTGCTCGCCGCACTGTGTGGGTGTACCTGTCGCCGCACTGTGTGAGTGTGCGTGTACCGGTCGCCGAACGGTGTGGGTGTAGGTGTACCGGTCGGCGGACTGTGTGTGGGTGTGGGTGTACCGGTCGCCGGACTGTGTGTGGGTGTGGGTGTACCGGTCGGCGGACTGTGTGTGGGTGTGGGTGTGGGTGCGTCCCAAGCATCCTTCCTCCGCACGTGCAGATCGTCAGGTGGCGACTTGAGTGCTTCGGTTTCTATCGTATGTGAAAACGGGCGCGAAGTCGTTCCCCGCAAAGTAAACGCATGGGTGCCTCGAAAATGACGAAAGAAAGAAAGAGGGTTCACTCACGAGAGCGAAACCGACGTCGACTCGATAGGCGACAGAGGTGATGGAGAAGGTAGGTGATAGAGGACGTTAGGCGACGGAAGGGCCTACGTATTGCTTCTGAAAGAGGCAACTGAAGGGGCAGAGGGCAGATGTGTTGGCCAACATAGCGACTTGTAGAGGCAGAGGTGTTGGCAGATGGAGTAGTTGATTAGCTCTTAGCGATGGCGGAGAAAGACGGACTAGTAGTTTCAAATTGACTCCAATAGGCCCGAGCCTAATGACCGATCACTTGTCTAAAGCCCAGCGCCGCACCACTTAAGCCCGATGAGGAGAAGTTAGACTTGCCAGCGGAGAGGGGAAGGTAGACGTACTGCCACCTCGCCGTTCCAATCGGTCTTCATGCCTTTCTCCCCTACGTATCCCCTTTCCCTCCCCCCTCCTCCTCCTCCTCCTCCTCCTCCTCGCCATCCGCGTCGTCATCCTCCCCCTTTTCCGTCAGTTCAGTAACTGTTGCTCTGTTCTGCATCAGTTTTTTTTTTTTTTAATAATTAAAAAGGCTAATTCTTTTTAAGGCCAACCAATTCAATTACCTGTCAGATCTGGACAGGACGGCCTTTCAGGCCTTTTTTTATTGTCATTATAGTTTTACGGGGAACCCCGTAGCAGCCTCATCCGTGCATGTTCCCTCGTTGGAGGCTTGAGCACGTATCTGCATCAGTTTTGGTAAGAAGCTGTTTTTTTTTTTTTTTTTTTTTT